TCRTAGACTTAGSACATATAACCAACAACATCACATTCCATCCCTAGACTAACATGTAAGAACATCTAGTGTTAACTAGTATTAAAGTAATCTAGACAACACKCTCACCTTAGCCTTTGGATGARCAAATATGGAGGAGTGAACCTAGAAGGATGTGAATCTGCGTTCTGGAAAAGCGATTAAAGTCAAAAATACGTTTCTGGATTTTGACATAATAATAGTTTCTTGACCAGAAAGAAACATCAATAACTCACTGGATTTAGATCGGATTGGCAAACCGGAACTTGATCTGAAAGCCTTGTAACGTCACCTTTCCAACGGTACCAAAATCGTGTTCAAACTCCTTCTGTAACAGCATAGACCTTCCTCCAAAGTAAACTCTGTGAAACCCGAGAACAGAATCTGGTCAGACATCTAGGGCAAACTTAAATCGTAGATTGCGGGTTCATCTTACCTCGGAATCCAAATCGGAAAAGAGTCACGGAATCTACAAAGAATCCTCTATCCAACGGTATGTAGATCGTCGCCTAACTCCTCACGGTTCGCTAGAAAATCACCCCGCAAGTGCCTGGTCGGATCTGAGACTAAGAATTTCAGATTCAGAAAACTGTGATTTTTCCTGATATTCAAATACGATTTGTGAGCAGACCATACCTCGTAATTCGAATCCGAAAAAAGTTTCAGAAACTACAATCCGTAATATTTTTCGAGATATAAGAATCACGATCTAATTCCTTCCGAGCCGCCGGAAATCAGCCCCGCAAAACAGCAACTTGGAACTAGCTTAACTGAGAAGGCAAAGACGGCTAGAGCGAGAACAATAGGGTTTTGCTAGCTGTGCAAATCTGATCTTCCTTCTCACTTGCGTGGCCTTATATAAAGATATAGGAAGACTGTAGGTTAGGGTTTTGGTTAACTTGGGCTGCGGGTAACGGGCTTTTTAGAATTTTTGGGGATTTTATGGAATTGGACCGTGACACTCATGCATTCAAATTTGCTGGCAGTCTAGGCTCAAAGAATCGTTACTTTGATTTTGACTAGTTAGCAGAGGTCGGATACTAAGTACTCACTTCATTTGACCTGAAATCTAGACCTCAAGGAATTATTTTAGAGAAATTTACCTGTCTATGATATGATGTTGACTTTTTGATTTTCGTGTGTGGCCAGGTGACTGATACTGTTACCATGAATCTCAATAAGAAAATAGATGTGAATTAGTATCAGCAAAAACTTCAAACATGCGCATAGACCTATTGGTATTTGTGTTCAAGGTCTTGCAGATGCGTTTATCCTCCTTGGAATGCCATTTGATTCTGCAGAGGTAGACATACTTTGCGTAATGATCAATCTTTGGAGTAATTCTGCTTTCTCTGTTCTAAGCAGTTTGATTTGTTTACTTAGGCCCAACAATTGAATAAGGATATATTCGAAACCATTTACTACCATGCACTCAAAGCTTTTTCAGGGCTTGCTACTAGAGTTGGCTCCTATAAGACCTACGAAGGAAGTCAAGTGAGTAAGGTATGCATCTCAGCCCACAATTATCTCAAATTTTTTTACCAAACTTCATAAAGTCTAATCATGCTTTGGTTGACTCAGACTGATGTTTCTCTAGGGAATCTTTCAAATAAACACGTGGAATGTAACTCCATCAGACCAGCGGAACAGGGCTGTTCTTAGAGATATGATATCAAAGGATGGAGTGAGGAACTCTTTTTTAGTAGCCCCTATGCCAACTGCTTCAACCAGTCAGATTCTTGGGAACAATGAATGTATCGAGCCATATATATCAAACATCTACAGCTGCAGAGTCTTGAGGTGTGTGATTAAATCATCTCACAAAGTATGTTTCTGGTTGGGTCTTCTTGGTTTGCACAGTGTTGAATTCGTATTAGTGAATAAGCATCTTCTCCATGAAGTAATTGATATGGGGTTTTGGACTCCAACGCTGAAAACCAAATTAATCAATGAGAATGGTTCTACAGTAAATGTCGCGGAGATACCTGATGACTTGAAGGCGATTTACAGTTTTAGCTCCCACTTTTTTGTGTTCTCACTCACTACTTTGTCTAGATACCGAGACTTGTTTTCTTTTGCAAAACAAAACAGAACTGTCTGGGAGATTAAACAGAGAACGAAGGTGGATATGGCTGTTGTTGCACTTCTATGATTTGGAAAAGGTGCAAAACTTAAACATCTAGACTCTTTATATAATCAGTTTCGAGATTCTAAAGAGTAATATGTTCCTTCACTCGTATCTTTACTCTTGCAAATACTCTTTAAGTGTCACTTTATGTTGTGAATCTACCAAGGGTTTGAAAACTGGGATGTACTACCTGAGATCGCGTGCTGTAGCTGATGCGATAAAGTTCACAGTTGACACAAACATGCTTGAAAAATAGTAATAATGCAATACTTGCTTCTAAATCTTAGAGAGTCTCAATGAAGAGATCAATTGATTTGGGATTTGGGATTGTTGTTTGGTTTTTCTGTAACATGAAAATGCAGTACTAGTAAATAGACTAAGACAATAACTTGTAAATTCAGATGAAAAACAATGAAGAACTACCAAAATTTCCTTGCTTAATTGAAAACTTAGTCATATATCCTTTGTATTCGACTTTTAATTATGTGTAAAATTGATACAAAGCTTTAGATCTTTTTATATAAAGCCTCCGGCTTGTATAATTTTTCTACTAATTCCAGTAGAACCCCTCTATATCCAGTAAATTTGTTTTAACAGAAAAATTGGTGGCGGGAACGTTGATCTCTTTGTTGGTGGGATCGGTTTCTTACACTAGAAAGCGACCATGGTTCTATTATTCCAGAGACGAATATAAAATGAAAATTTCCACAATATGTTTGATTTATTTCTTTGTAACGGGAAAGCTAAGATAGGATAAATCCTCTCTCGTGATTCACTATATGAACCCTAAGAAAGGGGAAAATCAGTGTAGGAAGTGATCGAATAGAAAGAAAGCCACTCCGAAGAATCTAAGATTCAATAATG